TTTATCCAGTCAGACTGGATTCACTCCAACATTTCAATGGTCTGTTCAAAAGTACCTATAGTTGCTATAATCACATCCTGTTTACCCTGCAGCTGTGTCTGACCAACTTCATTAAAAGAATGATAGCAAAACCCCATGTCAAACTGAAGCCCTAAGCAGACCCCACCTCACCTTCATACTAAGCCAGATATTTCCCTCTTGTAGCTCTTGTGCTGCCCACTGAAGGTCACCGGTGTTGCTCGCTGCAATAAGGGTGGGCTTTCAGGTAGGACTACATCTAGCAATGCTGCCTAGAGATTGGGCTGTGGATGCCCCATCTCTGGAAGCATTCAAGGCCATTCTGGATGGTGCTGTGAGCAACCTCGCCTATTAAGAGGTGTCCCCGCCTATGGCAGGGAAGCTGGAACGAGATGATCTTAAAGGTCCCTTCCAACACAAAGCATGACTCTATGATTCTATGATCTAAAATGATCTGCAAGAAATAAAACATACAATTAGTATCTATCTGATCTACTTAACAGGAACACTCAAACAGATTACCTCATTTGACGGCTGGAGTCAAAGACCCACTGGAAAAAAAAACATTATTCAATCCAACTGTGTGAAAAACAACACACAAAAAACCATGAACTACCACCTCTGCAGAAGGAATTTTCTTTTACTGGGCAATCAGAGCCCTGATTTCCTTTAATTTCATTGCCACTTGAAGCTCCCTGTCACCTTCTAGCTTACATACTGCCAGTATGTCCCTCTGGCAATCTTGAATCCCTCCTGAATGGGTTTCATTTACTCCTGTTCTCCTCGGAATCAATGCAGAGAAAAAACTGAAACAGATAAGACATACCGGATAAGAGGAAATGTGAAAGGAAGCTATGTAACATGACTTGCAAGGAACCTTTCAGGGACAACCTTCTGATGAGGAACTACTGACTTTCCAGACGTTTCCATTTGACTGTTCAATACTGTGATAAGAGGCAGTTTTCAAAAATGACATGCACTGCTTGTCAACTTTGGGAACTTCATCAATGAAATGAACCCTACAATTTTAAAGGATACCACGTATGTACGTGTATCTGTGTATGCGCTGATGTACGTGCTTCACAATGTGAGTATACCCACTGACACATAGAAACACACATCATATACTCTCTTTTAAAAACTGTGCAAGCCTAAAGTACCCCTGTAGCTCGTGCACATCAGCCAGACTTTCTCCAAATCTTTCCACACATGGTGCTGTCATAGATGCAGTTTACAGAAGGAGTCTGCTAGGCTGGATCAGATCACTGCACACAAAAGCATGTTGATAAGTAGGCTAAAACAGGTATTCTCTGAAATGGCCAGCAGACTTCATTTTGCAAGAATCATCTCCAATGCTGTGTTCCCATGGTGTCCAACAGTCCAAACTGCAAACTTTAGCAGTCAGCTTTCTATTGAAACTGTGCACAGATCTTATCAAGGCCCAAGGAAGGTCTAAAGCCATAGAGAGAAAGCAGAGGTGTCTGCTCCCATGCTCACATATAACAAGTGCTGCAGTACTGCCCCGTTCCTGTGTTATAAGCAAACTGTCACATTAGCCAGCTGAGCTGGACATTAGACCCCTTCATCATCCTGAAAATACTTAGAATTCTAAGTTAAAAAATATCCAGCAAACATCTCCAAATTTTGCATCAGATTTGTAATTCTAATAAAATCGATGACTTATGATTTGTAGCTTCAATAAGTGAAACTGCTGACATCAAATCGTTGACAATGGTGAGCTGGCACGATAATGATGCCCATTTATTGTTAGCTAGCCAACTGCCTCCCAGAAATAGAACCAGAGATACAAGGTCTAATTAGGAGTGCCTGAAATATCAGCTTTCCTACAGGAGAAAAACTGATGAGAACTTAGCAGAAGGTTTCTATTCCAAAATAAGAATTCTAGTAGAATATTCTCTGTGCAGAATTAAAACCTTAACTTAAAGACAGGCCACATGAAAAACTTATTACCTGCAAGTTTTGTCCTTTGATTTACAGCTAATTCTTTCAGTTCTGTGAGACAATGTTTTAAGTGCTCTGTAATGAAAGGACATCTCGCAAATGATCACAGCCACTGGAAATTTGTGAAGATATATTTTAAAAAATGCATTGAGAGTTTTTGAAGTTTACACCTCAACGGGTAATGAACTATCAATTAACCAGCATTTCTAAAAACAACTCGAAATTTAGGGCAGGAGAGATTACACATAACCATGTATTATGAAAATGCATACTATACCTGTGCAGTACTGATTTATTTTCTTCTTTGTTAGAAAGCATCTCAAGAAAGTACAGAATTGTACATGAAATCAGAGCCTGAATCTAGGAGGTGAACAAAAGTGCAAACCAATTCCTTCAGCAAAGCAGCTTGTGTCCCTTTCTGTCCTAGCTGAATGGGAAGGACTGGTGGGCCTCTTTACTGCAAATCTGCATTGCCTGGTTTTAAAAAGTTTAAGCATCTCTGCTATGGAACCTCTTGCGTGAAAGATGTTGAATTTAATCTTCCTAAAAAGTTGTTATTTTCCCAGCACTCCTTGCTGAGTTCCCATCCCTTTTTTTAGGTAAGCTATTGTCATCTGAGCAGTACAAAGGCCTTCTAATATCTCCCAATCTAGCCTTTGTTTCCTCTCTGTGATCTCTGTGATAACGACTGTTGTTTGCACGGGGAGATAGTGATAAGACAAGGGGGAACGGTTTTAAACTAAGACAGGGGAGGTTTAGGTTAGATATTAGCAGGAAGTTTTTCACACAGAAGATGGTGAGGCACTGGAACAGGTTGCCCAAGGAGGTTGTGGATGCCCCATCCCTGGAGGCATTCAAGGCCAGGCTGGATGTGGCTCTGGGCAGCCTGGTCTGCTGGTTGGCAATCCTGCACATAGCAGGGAGTTGGAACCAGATGAGCATTGTGGTCCTTTTCAACCCAGACCACTCTGTGATTCTATTATCTGCTCCCATGTTGTTCTACTTCCATGTTCCCACAGAGTTCATGCTGCCATGCTCCAAACCCTGTATTCCCACCAGGCTTATTTCTCTAATTTTTCCTCACCCACCTTTCTGCCAACTGCATCATATGAACGTCCTATGAAGCAGAGCTAATGTATATAAAAAAGACTGTTACACAACCCCCAGAAGCAAAACATGACACTGGGGATCACAGAGAGGCACTAAAGCCTGGCAAGTGGCTGGAATGAAGAGCAAAGTCTGCCTTCATACAAGAGGATAAATTATTCCCTCTTATGCACAAGCATGACTTCTGCAGACACAGCAGAAGACAAACCACGCTATATTGGCAGCCCAGAAACATACAGCACAAAAATCTCTGTGCAACAGGATCCAACCCACTTTTCTGGAACTGTGCAACATAGGCTGATGAAACTGTCAGGCTAGATTATGACAGGCTTACTTTGTACCAAAGGTTCTCACTCCACCAACACCCCCATGCACTGAAGTACAAAAGGATAAGAGTGCAGTCACACTGGACAACATTTTGAGAAAAGATCTCAGACTCTCCTGGACAACACCATAGTTTTTCATGGTACTGCAGCATTGATGAAACTGATGTAACAAACTGACAAAGGCCAAGGAGCAGCACGTCCTGCTCATCAGCCTACCTGTATTTTCCTTTCCTGAATTCTGGTAATGCTGATGCCCATACACATGAATCATAAGACAATTGGGTCTGGTTGCGTGTATTAATGGAAACAGAACTTTCTTGTTCAACAGTGACTGAAGGTCTAGGGAACTGGTCTGGAGGCTCTACACGTCATTTCCCAGGCAAACTATAAAAATCATGAAGCTGAGAGTACTGCACCCCTCAGAAGTGCCTATTTAAGCAAAAGTTCCTATTTAAGCAGAAACATCTGGTAAATGACCCAGAGCTCAGCCTGCAAACACCTGTATGCACCGCTTCATTTCATATACAGACTGCAGGCATGATACGGGAAGAGCAAAATCCTTCATTTTCTAAAGGCATTTGTTATTGCAGCCACTGTAAAATTCAGCAGTTTTTAAGGCACTCCAACCCCTGCTGGGGCCATTTGATTACACTTCCTTGCAGATCTTTTCTACAGAATAAAATATTACCATTGAAAAACTATGTAAATTGCAGAAAGTCAGCCAGACCACCAAAGTCAGTACTTGCACTGCTCTGACATGAGCATTTATTAATGTAGAAATGAAGCCAGTTTTGATACCAACTGTTCCCATATGAAGGGAACACTCGCTCCAATTTCCCCCAAACAGAGGGAAAAAAAAAAAAAATAAAATAAAGCAAAGAAAGAAATTTTTAGATCACAGAAAAATACAAAGAACTGACATAACCAACAAGGAAGTGTGGCTTGTGTGTCACATATTAATATATATACAATATATATTTTATTTTACTTCATGCTTCTGCCTCCCCTTCTTGTTTGCTCTTCAGGACAGGTAAGTGCTACTGGCAGCATCTTGGCACAGCCCTTTCTCCAAGCAGTGGGTACTGCTCCAGCAAAACCTCAGACCCCCAGTTTTTCAGAACTGCCTCCATGCCTATTTGACTGAAAGTTTTCAGCCCCAGACATCTGCTGGAAAAACAACGGAAGTCTTCTCGCGGTCAAAGTATTTTAAAATTCTCATTAAATCCCATAAGCTTCTGCTGACCATGTATGATGAAGGCAGACGCTAACAGAAGCAAAGAACAGAACTTCTGGAGCTTGCAGAGTATTAAAATCAGAAGCACTGCTGGTTAAGAGAGGCACACAAGGGTTCCTAGCACAGAGTCAAAGGACCATGGGAAAGTCAAAACACTGGCGCTGGGGACTGCTTAATAACAGGAAATAGAACATACTTTTGATACATGCTACCATTTAGAAGGAGTTCGCCCAGTTCAGAGACAAAAACATAAACTATACTTTTGACACTGAACAGCAACGGTGGTTTGTAAGCAGCAAAAACTGATTCAACTTTCTAGTAATGGAATTATTATTTGTCTTTCTCTGTGACAGTGTAAAAGCTATCAGAGGACCCCAAAAGATGACAGTGAGACGGTTGGGGGCAAGAGCAACACCTACCCAAGGAAGACAGGCTGAGGGAATTTGCTTCAAGATGAAAAGGCTTTGGGAGCCTTCACACCAGAACTAAAAACAAAAAACAAAACACAACAAAAAAACTTTTCACCCTTGTGGACAGGCAAGCAGAGTAGCAGGTTTCCCGGGAAGGTTGTGCAGTCTCTGAAACTGGAGTTTTTAGGATATGGCCAGATAAACCCTGAGCAGTCTGCTCTGACTCCACCGTCTGACCATGCTTCAAGCAAGACCTTGGGGGACCTCCCAAGGTTCCATTCAAACTGAAATATTCTCTGGTCCTATGATGTGTTTAGCTGGCCAGAAACCCAGTATATGCAAGGGGGTAAGGACAAGGCTTATAAAGACAGACTGGAAAATATACGTCTTTTGAGAAAAGTTCCTCACTTTGTTACCACTGCAGAATCGTTAACACCAGACATCCAGAAGAACCAAGACTTGAGAAGGAAAAAGGAAAACTCCTGATATGAGAACTGTGAAGGAGAAACTAAGAAGATCTAGAAGACTGAGATATTTCTGATGCAGAAAACTGGGATGCATAGTCCTCACACGGCTCTACTTTAGACCCAACCACACAGAGCAGTATCCAGGAAAGCCAGCCTGAAATGGAGAAAGGCAGTTTCATGGGCTTAGAAGTCTGTCAATTGTAGTACACATAACAGAAAGAACAAAACGGACATCTTGCTGGACATGTTTTAGTCATCTGGTGGGGAAAGTCTATACTAGAGATCCAGGAGGGACTGAGGACAGAAGGTTGATGAGAAGTTCCTCCCTTACTGACACAAAAACCTGCATCTAACACATTAGGAAATTTCATATGAAAAGACATTGAATATGACGAATATTCAGAATTACGGTGTGTAAGTGTCCTTTCTTGGAGGATTTTTCAATTCAGTTTGCAGCTGTGTCATCTCGTGTCATTTTGTCAGGTCTCCTAAATTAGCTTTTTATTTATTCTGAAATGCGTTTTCAGGGAAGATTTTTAAAATGTCAGGAAATAAAAGTGCTAAATCTTCTTAGAAGTGAAAGTATATTAAATTTAACTGCATTGCTGTGTCTTTGATTGTTTAAGGATCTAAGTGAGGCACATGCTGCTGAGAGAAGCCATACCCTCCATTAGTTTAGCAGATAGCACAGAGAAGGAATAGACATGCTATCAAGCTCACTAACCTTGCCTGCCTCTTTCAAGTCCGAAATAGAAGCCATAATTGGCAAGCCAAGTACTAACTGAGAACAAGTGCTCCAACTGTAACTTGATTATGTTAATCAAGTAACAGTTTGGGGAACAAAAAATAACTATGGTGGTTGGTAGTAATTATCTTTCTTTTCTGCAAGACTTAACAATTACCATCTTTGCTTCACCGTTTTAGCACAGGGGGATCAACTACCTTTTCTTTCAAATTGGCTGACTGAAACGCAGCTGTGCCTTCTACAGGCAGGATGTTACACAACATTCAGAATTGGTTTTAATTTTGCTAGTGTTATGTTTGTAACAAACCCAGTCAAGTTCTTTAGGATAGCCTGCAGATTTCAGGCCCTTTCTATAGCAAGACATAGCTGAATCCTTACATTGCACTAAGAGCCTCAATCATATCTGCATGTGAGAACATAGACTGTGAACTACAATTTAGCTACTTTTTTCCCATGAAAATCAATACCTCTCCTCACCTTCAGCCAGATTTATTTTTCCCCTTTTCATTCTCAGTAGCTCTACAGGGCTCATAACCCTCTTCAGAAGACAGGTCTTCATGTTTTGGTTTTCTTGAAAAAGAAAGAGGCAATCTCCTCCCTCCTTCAACACTCGATATACTTAACAGTACACTCAGTAAAACCTAGTTATGGTAAGAGTCAATGAGACTCTGCTATCTGCTAAGACTTGAACACAGTACAGGATCCAGCCTCCCCTTTATTTGGTGATGATTAATTTCTGACAGAACTATTTTAACAACAGATTTGTTTTTCCTATGTACTATCCCAAGATTCTCTTACTCCTGTTTTGTTATGTTTCTGAGAAGACACACATTACTGCATATTCGTGTAATTATTTTTTTAAAATATGTTCAATATTTTCCATCAATTTTATAACCAGAATTTCTTCTTCTGACTACTCTCCTTTCTTCCTTCTATTCCTGAGTTCAGGGATTCCGTATTTTACTTCCACTTTTCCTTTCTGTTGGGACATTTTTTATTTATTTATTTATTTTTTTTGCACGGGCAGTTCCATAATTTCTTTTTCTCCTAATTTAACAAAGCTTTCCCAAGATGACTACCTAAACACAGAAATCCAGAGTAACACAAGCTGTATTGTCTCCTACCAACTCTAACTCAAATGTCTTCCACACAATTATGACAAACAGATTTAAAATTAACCTGGGGCAAAACAAATACCTATACCAAAATTGCAGTTAAACACTGTCAATTGTTTTGGGCTGGCTCAGCCCAGTTCTGTGACTAATGGAGCAGAGGAGTGGGAGAAGGAGGAAAAAGGGGAAACAGTATAGAGGTGGGCCTAAAAACAAAACAGCAGCAACAAGCTAAGGGAGAAAACTGATTTACTAAATATGATAACAGAATGCAAGATAACACAATTTAATACAATGTAACAGGAATTGAAGCTAATAAATCAAATGAGAGAGGGTGTCCAAAACCAAATAAAAAACTTCACTCTAATGCTGAAGGTGAGACAGCTAGGGAGCACACAGCACAGTGATGAGCAGCAAATGAAGGGACAAGAAGGGCAAGCAGTTTTATCTTTCCCTCTAAAAGGAAATGGAACAGTGGGAGATGGAGGAGTTCTCAGGAACTCCTGAGGAGCTGGGAGTAGGAACTGGGAAACGTAGTTGTTCTCAGAACAGAACAATCCATGGAACTGAAGCATTAACTCATTAACCCCAGTGCACTACACGACGTTATGACGTGGAATATCAATAACAAAAATCATAAAACCATGACATTCCATCCCTTATTGCACATCACTACATCATGCTTTATATATATCATGTACAGAAACAAACAATAATTCACATGCATTAAGCACACACACATATACATGGAATTACTGACTGCCTACCCCCAACATTAAATTCCCTTGCGGTAAACACTGAACATTGTTCTGTATTACGCACCAAGCACACCCGGGTCTCTGAGCAAAAACAGTTCCACAGAGGTTTGCCCTTTCCAGAAGCTGGAAAGACCCAAACTGCTTTTCCCAACATACTCTTTACATGTAGTACAGGGATCTTGTCTCCCTCCATAGCTTTTAGGGAGCTGGATTGGGCAGGACTATTTCAATAGATATATCCTCAAGTACAGACCAAGCAGGTAGCCTCTGCCAAATGCTTCTCCCAGTGTTTAAATGTTTCACCACCCATTGCTTTCAACATGGTTTTTAACAACCCACTGTATCATTCAATTTTACCAGAAGCTGGTGCATGATAGGAGATATGATAAACCCACTCAATGCCATGATCTATAGGCCAAGTATTTATAAGATAATTTTTGAAATGAGTCCCATTATCAGACTCAATTCTTTCTGGAGCCACGTCACTACAGGACTTGAGACCTAATCTGGTGTTTCAGGCAGTAGGATGGGATGCTGTGTATGTTTCAAGCCACCCAGTGGCTGCCTCCACCGTGGTGAGCACATAAGGCTTACCATCAAGAGTTCATGGCAAGGTGATGTAATCAAACTGCCACACCTCCCCATATTCGTACTTTTGACATCACCCTTCCACCCAGAGGTTTCATCCTCTTGGCTTGTTTAATTGTGGTACATGTTACACAGTCATGAATAACCTGTGCAATAGCATCCATAGCTAAGTCCACCCCTCAGCCTCCGACCCCTTACATGTAGAATGTCTTCATTCACGGCCCAACATCTCAACTCTCCGCTGGAGTCCAAAAGAACCCATGTCTTCTATTCAAAGCACTAATTCTTATTCAAACAACTAATTAAGTTAATGGGGGAAAAAACCCTCAAAGCAGGGTAAGCAGAGTTCCCTAAAGCTAAGTATTTAATATTATTACAGTAGCACTGCTCCTTAGTTGGCTGTAGTTAAGAGGGCCTGGAGAAGGAAGAGGGGCCTACAGAAGATTAACCATTCCGCTGCTGTCTGCTGCAGGTTGGCCCACTAGCACCACCTGAAGATGAACAAACTTAAATACAATCACGCTGCGCTCCATTGACAAACACAAGGAAACAAAACCTCCAGACACTGCTCTGCTGTGTCTGAGGTCCCCAAACCCACATTGCTGGCCCAGTGCAAGCACTGCTCATTCACAAACAGCATCAAAGGCATGATCAGAGCACAGCTGGCTCCATATTCAAGGTCAGGCTGGACAGGACTCTGAACAATCTGATGTAGCTGTAGCATCCCTGTTCATCGCAGGACCAGATGGCCTTTAAGTGTTCTAATGTTTCTATGGTTCTATAAAGCTACAAGCAGTGATTGTAATAAAGGCGTGGCATCAGAAGTTTCAAGAAGAAACTGGTAAGGCCTTCAAGATACCATTGAAAATTGCACGTTTGGAGCTTTTTAGTATGATTTTCTTCATGCAAAAAATGGATTGACTCAACTGATATGAATGTAAACTAAACTCTAGGGTTTATTTCTCTACGGGCTTTCTTTTCTTCCCTTCCCAAGCCATTCAGCAGATGGAGACCCCACAAGCAACCCAACTATTGTTAGGGTCAGAGATTTAATCAATCACAAAGATTTCACATAAGCCTGCAATCCTGCTGCTAGTATCAGTCAACACTATGTTCTTTAATACTTAGTTTTGGACTCTGCAGCTTTTAAGATATGGAGCAGATGTTAAGTCCCCCACTGCTCTTTGGTGCAAGAACCAAAATGACACTCTTCCAATGCTCGGTAATTAAAGTCAAGCATTGTTATATCACCTGGCATTAAAGCCAATCAATCGTTAGCATTATTGAAAAAAGATGCAAATGGTCTTTGCTCACAACAGTTTCAGGCATCTATTTCATATTGCCTTTTTCATGAATTATATTATTACCATTATACTCTATTGGCTGTAAACCTGCATCCCCCAAAAATGTTTCAATGACTTGTCACCTGTATTTCAAAGCCACGAAACAGGGAATCATAGGCACCAAAAATAACAATTTATTGTTACTCATCACCTTGGGGCACAGTACACTTCAGACTCGTGAAAGCTGATCATTTTCCACTTCCCTTTTTCATAAAACAGCTTTATGTGAAGTGCACAAAACCTGCAGACTGCTGACAGTTGATAACACTGCTGCAACTGAAAGGGAGAACTGTAATAACAGAGCTCAGAAAACACATGCAGGAGCATGCATGTTGAGTCA